TCAAAATTAAAAGTCTGAAGTTAGCTTGCTATTACATCATTTATCCCGATAACACATCTGACAAACGATATTTTATTTTAATATAATTCTCTTTGATCCATTAGCAACTATATAATTATTCGTTATCAAATAAATATATAATTTTTGGATGGAAGAAAAAAAAAAAAATTATTATTTTTATAAATATATCAAATACGTAAGAGTTGGATTAACCCTAAATTTTCGGTTTTAGGATAATTTTTATTTTGTTGTATTTTTATTTGTATTAGTGTCTTATTGTTATAGAATACAAAAAATTACAGCTAATGCTTCAGATGAATTTTTTTATAAAGCATCTGTATATATTTGGTAGATTAAGGTCATTGAAGATCTCTTATTCCTTAGAAATATAAAAACAATCACATAATTTTAGGAATACAAAGGACGACAACCAAATAAGTGTTAATGGAAAATGGAAGATATTATCATGAAAAATGTCATATTCTAGTTTTTCTTAGGTACCAGTTTTGAGACAATTTTATGTCCCAGATTTTGCACCAAACACCGTAGATCTCACCATCTTCTCAGCTTTTTCTGCTTACATTACGAGGATTCAAATCATCGAAGCCGGGATCGGACTTTCATTTCGTAATAGAGAGCAAAACTCTACTTTCAACCTCAGGGCCATATTTTTGACGAATTACTCTAATTTCGTGTATTATTTCACGAACTGATAGCTATTCTAGCCACAATTAAATGAAGAAACGGCTATTGTTTGCACCGCTTTCCTATTAGTTGAACCAGAGTTCAAATCCCGTCAAGGGTGTCGATAAAGTTTGACCACCAAGTAAACGCCAAGCAGCAAACTAAGCCCCATCAACAAGACTCGACCTCATAAAAGGTTGAGCTCGAGTATCAACTCGGCCTCAAACCGTATCCAACCGTCCTCAGTAAAGTGCATTGGCTATCAAACTGAGCGACCGTGTGAATCCAACCGAGGTTCTCTTGAAAGGAGAAAGCCTGAGTGGGTGGTTGGTGAAAACATTTATCGGCAAAAGTGCACATGAGCATAACGAGGGCGCGGCTAAACTAACTTGAGACCATGCCGACAGAATCAAGGATTCAGGTAAGAAGGTGTGTGAAAATTAGGAAAGAAGCCGGAACGTCGCGAAGCTGAGACATGTCGGACAGAATAAATAAGAAGTTGAATAACACAACAAAAGTGTGCGAAGTGCAAAAATTAAAGAAAAACCTGAAAATGGACCAAGGTTATGCAAGGCGGGGCAGGGTCAAAAGTGGCTGATAATGTAATAGCCAAAAAGATGAAGAGGAAGCCATGTTGCCTACCGCAATTACATGGGAGGACATACAGGCAGACAGATAGACAGATAGACAGATAGACAGACAGAAAGGTGACTGTTGCGGCCAGTGGATGTCGTCCGTCTAGCTATAACCTTGAGACGGAGGTTGAGGATCTAGAGGAGGCAGTCGGCTGGGGTCGACAGGTTTCGCGTTCACTCTCGCGTTGCCATGGCAACTGGGTCAGATAGGGATAGGAGATGGGAGTTTTAAGTTGGACGTTGGGCGGGGAGGGGTGAATTGAGACGAGTCTGACTGGCGGGCCGGTTCCGTCTGTCGTGCTAGCCTTAACGACTGCCGGTGCAGTCAAAGGCCGGCATTAGACCGGAAAACTAGGAATAGAGGCGAAAGGCTGACAACGGCACGAGGCTCTATTCTTTTCGGCCCGGAGACACACAAGTTAGACTTCTTGGGCCCGACAGGCGTAGACAGCCTGGACGATATGGTTGAAGAGGTTGGCAGAGGTAAGCCGACTCTCACGACGATTGGTACCAACAGACAGTTTGTGTGTGTGCGTGATAGGCCCGGAACTGGAGGCTGTCTGCTGGGAGAAAATGGCCTCACGGGCAGATGAATATCTGTGGAAGTAGTCGATCTCTCACTACGGATTATCCCATTGGCCGAGCCGGTCGCCGTAACGCTGGCTTCACAAGTTTCAGGTAAGCCAAAACTCGGACAGGACCAGTGGTCGGGCATCAAGAAAGACCTGACACGACTCTACAACCAGGTTGAGTAAAGGTTGTGGAGGCGATGGAGTTAAAAGGGATTTCGAAGAGTCGAGAAGATAAGTGTGATCGGTTCGTGAAAGATCATTCGAAAATTATGCAATACTCGCCAGGTCGCAATTGCGACAGAATTCAAGCAATAAACAATTGTATACAGTATTATGCAAATTGTACAAGAGTGTGAATAATAAAGGTACTTTTAAGCAGACGCTGACAAGAGACTATGGTGTATTCTTGAAGTCGAAACGAGAACAACTTGCTTAAATATCATTAGAAAATGTTACAAAATGTTACAAAAATGCTTCTAACACTCATTGTTTACTAACTTATGCAATACTATACACTTACCAAATACGTTCCTGCTCAAGAATTATCACTATTATAGTAGACTACTTTTACAGTGAATAAGTAGCATCCTCGATTGCAATTACAAATACACATTTTTCATAACCGACAATTCTTAATTCACTAAAAACGACCTAGTCTGATTAAGCTCATATTCAAGAGCTACTGATAGACTCGAAGCCTAACTATATCAAGCACATAATGGATTATTCTATTAGCTAGTAGTTATGAAATTTCGTACTACCATCTACAATAATACACTACTATGGAATGTACTATATTATGCTTCGTATTTATATAAGGTAATTTTCCGTTTGTGTGAAAATGAGACCAAGAAAAATATTTTTTTGTTAACAAAACGACGATGGCTAATTCATGAATTTATGATGAAATGGTCCGTTAAAATAGGTTTAAAATGAGCTTTAATTCTTTATGATCAGAATTGCAATCTTTTCCTTTAATGAAGTTAAACTAAAATATATTCAATTTGCATATGCTCCGAAACGGCCAGTAGATCTTGGATAAAAACTATATTCATCTTAAATCGCATAAGGTAATCTTAATAAGATAAGTAGGCCTCGGTTTCCGTTAAACTCTACGCAGTCTCGCATCCTAGAATGTTTATTCATTCCACCGTGGGCAAATTAATCTATCAACTTTTATTACTAGGATAAATACAATTTATCACAGTTTACCAAAATGTTATATAATTTGATATTTAATTATAACTTATTATTTGAACTATTTATTATTGCTTACAAACATTTACAAATGATATATATATATACTATTCCATAGATTTACGTAATAGTATATTATTATGAATAGTAGTAAGTTTGGTATACTATATGTGAATATATATGAATACATATATGGGTATATAAGCTAATTATTTTGTGAGAAAGTTAGTGTTAGAAAATAAGTCTTTGGTAAACTACACTATAAGACGATAAAGTATCGATCAATTCATCATGAGTGCGTCCATTAAGGATGCATTTGTAAGGATTTTCAATTCATTGTGGTAAAGCATGCCACATTTTTGTATAATATCATCAATTTTAGTCAGGGTTTCCAAAAATATTATATAATACCTGATATTCGATTGTTCTACATTAATTAAACAATTGATTATTACATAATAGAATTTACAATAATTTATTAATTTTTAAAAGTTTACAGTATGTTTCTAAGTATTTATGAAATCTTTGTCGTGGAGACTTTCCGTTAGTGTAAAAACGAGATTAAAGAAGAAAGTTTTTAGTTCGACATTTGAGATTTATGTGCAAGAATTTTAAATTCATCGTGACCAAGCCTGCTATTTTTTCAGAAGTGGGTTGACCTCGTTATCACAACATGGTGCTGTAGTCAGGGCGAATTAGTTGAACGCACCTTGTACGAAGTCTTCTTACATAGTAGTTACCATAATTCCATGCTTTAGAGCGTGAACCTGGTACATTCTCAGACGTTTCGCCGGCATAGTAGTAGGTATCAGCATTGAGTCTTTCCGTTCTCCACGCCGACAAGTCAAGTCAATCCCTCGAACAACATTCTGCCGAAATGGTTGCACTACCACTCCTCATTCTGTCCTGGCCAGTCTTTTCACTTCCTATTCTCTTATAAAAAAATCCGCCCTATCACAATTTCTGACTTGTTTACATTCCACTCGTCAAAATATGTGATGCTTTTGGCAAGTTTATTGTGTCTTTGCTTGATTTCCAAAATCCCACCCCCTTGTCTCATCACGATCCCTTTTCCATCGATTAGCGACAGACACTCGATCCAGGCGTCTCCTTTTGGCCAATCTTGCTGTATTCTTGTTTTCCCCGAGTTTGCTTGTGTAGTAGGCAAATTTATCGCCAACTCTGCCTTCCTCTAATCTCCTGTTTATAAGATATTTTGCCACAAGTATGCCAATGGTTTTCCCAATCTTCAACTTTATTGTGTTTTCACCACATCAAACGCTTCTTTCTGCTACCTTTCAATTAATCTCATGTTCAGTCTGTGTGATGTGTTCCTCTAATTCTGATCTTTCGGAATTTATTTTTTTGCAGCAACTTTGATATTTCTTCATCAAAGGCTCTGCAGAAAAATGGATACCGAAAGATCCGAATCAGTGAGACACATCGCACAGACTGGATAAGAGATTAATTGGAAGGCAACAGGAAGAAGCTTTCAACTAATTCGCCTTGACTACAATACCAAGTTGCGAAAACGAGGTTAATTCACTTCTATAAATCGAAGGGATACTGCAACCATACTGATAACCATATCGACTTGTCTTCATATCTTTGCTATATTTTTCTTTAATAACACTACATTTGCTGCTTAACGTTTTGAAGCTGATATGGTACATTTCATATCACTGATTTACCGGTAGTCTTGAAGCTCTACTTATACACGAAAAATAAGTGGTGCTCTATTAATATAGCAAAAATATGTTTGCTTCAATCTCTCAACGAATATAATATGAGGAAAGGCCTAGCCTTTCTTCGAAATTCACTTCGCTCCTGTGACCCAAGAGCACTCATGACAATTTGGCCAAGTGATTAACATGTCAAGTTCACATGCTGCACTGTCACTGGTCGACTCCCGCTGGAGGTGTTGATAGCACCTGTACCAGGTATAAACTGCAGTCCATCCTGGACAATAACAACTTTTGGTAAAGCAAGTATATGTGAAATTCAGTGGAAACGTCAGCTCCGCTAATAAAATTGTAGGAAAATTCTACCACCAGTCGTTCATCACCTTGAACGAAATAGAGTGAATTCATCTCATATAAATGATTTACTAGCAGTCTCAACACTCTACTTATATACAAAAAATGCTTTGAATTATGCCAGCCTTACTTTAAGTTGCCAGGGTAAACAAAATGTCATATAATATAGTAGTTTATTAACCAAAATTTGTTAAACAGTATTACAATTTCAATAATATACTACTATCGAATACTTTGCCATCGGACTCCGAACTATACAATACAGCTTGATCGTGAAGACTTTCCCTTGGTGGGAAAGTGATACTTATGATGGGTCCGGTGGACTACTGAAGTTATGATGAGAGAGGTTCTTACAGATGGATTTTGAAAGATTTTAGAGTCGTCATGAATAGACTTGCTATCTTGTCCTTTTCCATTATCAGAGCATGCACAGATAATGCCTAATTCTACTCCAAATAATGCCAACTTTATTAGATTTAGTAATTGTCAGCAAAAATGTATGATATTGTCTTATTTAATCGAACAGTTTGAATATTTTAACATATTAATTCCGACTACGCTAAATCATGCTCACAGTTTATATATCATTACTTATCTTTAGGCATTACTCTTTATTGTTAAAGGGTGTGTTAAAAAGATTATTACGTGGATTCATGTTTATAAGTTTACGATGCACATTTAACTTTATGATTTGAGTCGCCATGAAAAAAGCATTTTCACCGGATTTCTAATCCGTGTGGCTAGACTTGCAGTAATTTCTTGTAATATCACTAGAAAAAGTTGCAACAATATTAAAATCTTGTCCATACTAGTCTATATTCACTATAATTTCATGGGTTTATTAAAATACATAATACGATATTTCCCTTCATCAGTAAGCTTTATCCATTTTTGTACTGAAATAAAAAATAGTTTAGCTTTTTGCATGCTATCATTTTATATTATTTAGCCTCACCCTCTCTATATATTTGTGTGTGTGTGTATGTGCTGTGGCTGATTTAGTTGTCACTATAAAATTTTCAAATTTACTTCCACCGATATACTCAAATGACAATAAAGCACTATTGCATGTAGACCATTTAATAATGAAGGGATGAAGTGATAATATTTCAGTGAGAATAGGGTGGTATACAATTCCGAGCTCACAGTAATCGAAGCAAGATGACCCATTTGGCATTATAGTCACCCCAACAATTATATTTATTTCGGGGTATTCATCAAAGTCTAGTTATATTAAAAAAAACACAGATTATCACTTCATCCTTTCATTATTAAATGGTATACATGCAATAGCGATTTATTGTCATTTGAGTCTATCGATAAACGTAAATTTAGTACTTTTGTAGTGGTAATTAAATTAGCCAGAATTAAGTGATTGAAAACTTCGACTTTCTTTCCCATTCAGCAATAAAGTCTGCAATTTTGTGCTTTACTCAGCGCAAATGAACACTGCTAAACAACGTTTTATAACGATTATTATCAGTAGACTCTAGGCTCTATTTTCATTAGTCATTAATTCTGATTTGAGACCTGACCAGAGGCATTAAGAAGTTGAGCTAAATCTCCAGATTCCCGCTAGAATACAAATTGTTATCCTGGTTCTTTCTATGAGTCCCAAGTCTGAGATTCAGGGGTGGCTCAAGTCGCAGTCCGCATTCGGAAAAAGCATCCAATTTTGGTGTATGAGGTATACTGGATTTTGAACTTTATTTTAGACATAAATTCCAAGAAAGTGTTATTTCTAAACTATCAGTAAATCTTGAATAAGTATTCTAATTACTCTAGGTTGTAGATAGTGATTAAGTTGCAAAGTAGAATTTTTTCACTCATATTAATTAGGGAAAATTTACCTATCATACCCACTTCACTTTTTTTACCTAGGATGACTGAGAGTTTCTCCTTTTTGAGTT